ATTGCATCTCTGATAATGATGTATGGTCGATTAACTTTGTTCTGCCTGTATATATTGTATAACCCCATAAATTTGGGTCTGGGTGGTGTTCATACCAATTTCTTTCCGTAAAAATTGAAGATTTTCCAATGGAGATACTGGCCCACTCTATCAAGCCGGGTTTTATATTCAGTGGTTGCCAATACCGAGCAACCTGATACAAGATGGTCAATTGTTACTGAATGTTTATCACAGAATCTGCATTTTTTTTACCAGTATGTTTGCGTGATAATTACTAATTAGCGAGCATTGATCCTGTGCAGCAAGAATAAAACCTACGTTTTCAGTTTTTAACCTTACACTATGTAGCCACTGATAGATATGGGGTTTGTCTACATCAGCTTTTTTTTGCTACGGGCAGAAAATTGACCGGGAAGAGGTTTATCTTGCCATTGTTTCTTTATCTGGTCGATTGCATTTGCCTTTGCATTTTTTTAAAAATATTTTTGCAGCTGTCGTAGGTGCATTATATTTTACTTACATTTCCTCACGCACTTGAAACTCCATTTTGAATTTGTTGGCTTCCTTTATTACTAAATAAAGTTTATTACTTCGTTCATGTTCTTTGATACGGATCATCATCTAGTCTTTTTTTAGTTTCCAGGTGTCTTTGAAAGCCGATTGTTTTAGGTTTTTTTAAAGAAAGTTCTAGTTGAACTAATCCTCTGCCTCCTTCGGATCTGGACACATACAGATAATCAACATCAACCTTAGAATGATACATGCGGTGGTAAGTGAGAAGGTTTCTCGTTTTGGCATCTATTCGCTTAATGTCAGCTATGATCCAGATAAATATGTTCAAACTGCAAACGGGGACAGCCAAGATGTTTATGGCTGGTATTCTGATTCTTTTTAAATTTAACTCTTTATTCAGGAGTCTGTAGTATTCTTTTCTTACTTTCTCTTTTATTTATTTCCTCTCCTTCCATAATTCCTAGGTACTTATATGCTTTTCCTTGTTCCAGTTCCCTAATGTTTGTTTCAAAATCTAGATCTATTGAGTGTCTTTCTGTAATTCTCCTATTCTTGGATGTTACGTTTGCACGTTTATCTAATCCAGAATCCATACATCTGTCGTCATCGAAACATTTTATAGAATTGAAGAAGCCTTTCTACTCGTTGCCGTCTTTGGCAAAGAGATTGAGATCAAGTATGTAGAGGAGGTGATTTAATACTTTCTTGTTTAATATGTATGCATAGCTATTATTGTTTCGGTTGTGCGTAAGGAGGATTAAGGACAGACAAAACAGAAGGTGTGCCTGGGAGCTTCCTTGAAATTTTCCTCCTCTGATATTCAGGTGTTTGGAAGTAGCAGTGTCTCTGGTGTGATTTAGGTATAATATAGTTTTCCACATTCCCATTCTGTGTTTAAGGAAATTTATTATCACCGATGAGACTTTGTACATGTCTAAAGTGTTAAGAATCCAAGAGTGTGGCACATTATCAAACACTTTACGGTACTTTATCCTAGCATTTCTATTTTATTTTCCTGCAATTTTCAGGGTAACTTTGTTTATCAATACTTGATTTTTGTAAACATAAGCACCTCTCCGACATCATCTCTGTTCTAGGGTCAGAATGTTGTTTTTTTCTTCGAGAAAGAATAAGTACAGTTCGTCAGGATAGACGTGATCAATTTATACGTGGTGGGCAGACATGTTATTGACCGATAGTTTTTCGGATCATCTGTTTCAACCGTTTTTGGTAGAAGATACGAGATACCTTCAGCGATCCATTATGGGACTTCACTAGGTTTACTAATAAGCATTGATAAATTTTATGCAAATGTTATGCATTGATGCAAATGATAGAGCTAAAAATTGGGTACCTCATCATTTTCTGGGGATTTCCCATTTTGGGGATTTCGTTCGAGGTTGCCTAACATCATTCTTGGTTAATATTTTCCGATTCTTGTAGAGGTTTAGCCATCATTCGTTCTTCTCGTTGGATTTATTCTGTAGTGGGGTTATATTCCTTTGGTCTACTCCAAATATTCGCCCCAAATTTTTGCAGTTTTTCAATAGATGGTGGCTTTTTGATATCTATCATTCTATTTCCAATTTTTCTGTAAAAGTTCTTAAAATCCGTTTTCATAATAATAATAATAATAATTATTATTATTATTATTATTATTATTATTATTATTAATAATAATGTTACTATTACTAGTGGAGAAGAGCGCGATTTATGAAAAGAAAAAAATGAAAAGACTCTGTGTTTGACATTGTTCGGACTGTTGTCCTCATCTTTCTTGCCATATCATAACGCATCTGGCATTTTGAAGTGAACCCTTTATTTTCTTCGCCGGAGTAGATTGTTCTAGTTCCACGTGCCATGCATCTCTTGGATGTCACTGTATCAGTTATCACCCTTTACTTCAACTCTCTAAGTTTTTTTTTGTTCAGCTCTGCTGTAGCCAAGTATTGAACTCACAACTCTTCGGGTAAAATCACTGGATTCAGCCAACGCTTTTCTTCTACTGGGCCACGTCTCCTGTAAATAACCTGAAGAAAGTCGGAACGTACAACGGCCGAAACGTCGTAAATATGGCAATAAAGATGAGGACCACAGTCTGAACAATGTAAATAGAGTAAATAATTATAATGCCTCATCACAGAAATATAGACATATACTGAGTCTTTTCCTTTCTTAAATCGCGCTTTTCTCAAAGTGTGGACATACATTGGAAGACTTACATCAAACTTTTTGTTTAATATTAATATTATTTTTTTTCATGTAATATATATATATATATATATATATATATATATATATATATATATATATTATCAATGTGAATATTATCATTTCTTTTGATTGCTGTTATATACTGTTATATAGGAATAAAATGTCGCTGACGACACTTGAGTTTGAACATAGATCGCCAGTGAGCAAACACAGGCGATCCCATTATTGAATTAAGTAGACCACGTGATCATAGAGGAAACGCATATATGGGAAGCAGCGTGTGACTAATTGATCATCATTTTTAGTCTATCCTCTATTACTATTAGGATCCCCCATTTCTAGTCTATCCTCTATTACTATACGGACCGCTATTATCCTCTCTATTCACTATACGATTTCTTTATTCGGATCACTTTTCGGTGGTTACTATTCGAGCGATTATTATGGAGCAAGAACTATTACTTCGAGTGATATACGAAAGCGTCTAACATGAGTAATGTTCAACGGCGTTATTATAGTTGTATCTGCGATTACAAAGTCTCTACTACAACGAGCATTACGAAAGTGACAACGAGTATTTGTTGATAACACAAAAGTGGCAACGAGTGTTCGTTGATATCATAAAATATATACATTTCATTTCGGCTCCCAACAAGAGATATAAGTTCAAGAGTAGCTTCATGATATTTTCCACTGATCATTTTTGTAAAAAGAACACGTACTATATAATCACACACTTTTTTCGTAGATAAAGCTCTTCGTAATGTCTGAGCTGTAATTGTGTGTACAATTTATTTTATTTCTTTAAGGCATGGGCTAGCAGGAACCCATCATTTGAACGTTTTTTTTTTAATCATTTCACACCAAGCAAAGCAGGAATGCCACTAATACCCAGGGAACGGGTACAGGGAATAAAAATGTAAGAAAACACTGGGTATTGAGGAATTGAGAAAAGGATGAAAAAAAGAAAAACAGAAGATGACTTCGCATTAAAATTTTTAAAGATTCAGGGAAGCAAATAAACGGAATGGATTTTCACAGGTTGTTAGTGAGAGAAAAACCGTTGGAGTAGACGTGACGGTTGATTTTAGTTATTTCAACAGTATAAGGGTGGGACCTAATTGCCAAATTAGCAGCAAGCTTAAATTCATGTAGTCGGGGCACCATGGAATAAAATCTCGTGAGAGCAGTTGCCATGAAAATATTTGTAGAAAAGACAGGGGGAGGCCACGTCATGCAAATAACGATAGAACAAATAGCAGGACAAACTGGGTTCTATAGCCCTGGATGGCAAGCTGTCTCTGAGGAAGTATCTCTGAATTCAAAACAGCATGTAGCTACAGAAAGGATCGTTCGCATTTGTTCAATGATGATGATGATGAATGTTAACGTAATACAGGGCTCAAGAGATACTCAAGGTAGAGGGTTACTGTGTGGTATTGTATGAGTGTAGGAGAATGCAAAAAATACAGCTCATTACGCTATGCAAGGAAGATAATGGAGAAAACGTCAAGATTGTAGGAATTGAGAAAGCATTGTGCGAGGAGTCTGTTCCACAAAGCAGCATTTCTTGGGAAGAAGCTATCCAAACAGAATTTCGTGCTTTCTATAGGAATGCGAAGGAAATGAGGATGATACACTCCTGTGGATGTGGTATGGCGGTCTGACATTACATATGTGGAAAATTGATTAATTGTTTGAATCATTTTCTACGGTTTGCCAACACTTTGCACGCAAATAAAGACAGAAAACATTTTAAGATTGCAAGACATTTTTTTAAAGATAATAATGTTTTAGCAATACAAGTCTTACTAATTAACCTATAGCTGGGGGAGAAGAATTGGATTCATAACTTTTCCAAGGGTATTTGCACGTATGTGAACAAAACAAACCCAACGGAAATTATTGTTACGGTTTTTTGGGTATATACGCTTATAACTAGTGAGCGAGTCAGAATGACTTATTTCCCTTTATAGTCGACCAATAGAAGGTTGACCAATCAGAAGCCGCCCAACACTGTATTCGTCGTGTGTAAAGGCGGCCATCTTGTTTCCTCTACCGGAAGGACCAAAGGCGACCAGGAGGAAGATGAACTACACTCTGTTGTGATATCCACTGCGAACCTCCATTACGCTTTCCTACTGTCTCCGAAATATTCACTGTCAACCTCTGGATTCTATACTCGAGGACGACCGTCATGAAAATGTCTAACAATTACAACTCGCCTCTGCGACTAATAATTCCAATCCATTATATCAGCTGCATATCCAAGCTTCCAGTACCTGGTATTCCCAAATTGTCACCCATCTAGGTACTGACCAGTCTCCGTGATACTTAACTTCGTTGATCGTACGGTAACCGGTGTTTTAACGTATATGTGTAAAATATGCTACAAAGTTGAGAATAAGTCGTCCTCTACGAAACCACGTGATCGATTTTAAACTATCAATTCAGAACTAGGATTGGGTAACTGCGACCCATATAAAGCAGCAATACATGATTTAGGATGTAATTTAACGTTTTTAATGATAAAACATGAGAGAAGTTGCCAGGTACCTTCATGGAACTATAGAGTGAATTGACTATTTTTTCAGCATGTTTGAAAATTGATTAGAGTGAACTTGAGACATATTAAATGTCAAAGTATTTAATACCGTAATGAAGATCGAACTTACAATGCTGGCGGTTAAAGAATAATGCTCATCTGAACAATTAGCCACGGAACTAACTATAGATCAGTGATCGGCTTGCAGAATGCATCTTTAGGAAAAAGGCTGCAAAGTGGAAAATAAATTATCACCCACAAGGCTGTGGGAAATATTTTGAACTCTATCAAAGCCTGGAAAAGGAGGATTGATCACCTCTTGCCCAAATATGGCAGCATTACCCCATTTTTGGTCTAATTTGACAAGTTAAAGTCAGGTATTTTCTTAAGCGATAGAATAATCTTACCAGTTTCCAATATATTTAGTAATGGGTCTTGTATATGTGTTCCATTTGAATTCTGGAGTGAACCTGAGACATAATTAGGCGTTCAAGTAGGTAATATTTTAATATCACTGTGAGTATTATACTTACAATGCTGACATTTCAAATGAAAGAAAGAAAAAAAATAAAATACAACAAAAAAAGGAGGAATGATAAGAGGTGAAAAATGTCAAACCATTAAAAAAGAAAGAAAGAAAAATGAAAAACGAGAAAGGAAAAAAACAAAGGCTAAAACACAAAGAAGAATTATTATTGTTAAGAAAGAAAGAAAGAACACTATTTACATTATTCGGACTATTGTCCTCATCTTTGTCGCCATATTTATTACAACATTTCGGCCGTTATACGCTCCGGCCTTCTTCAGGTGGTTGGAATGTCGAACTGAACGAACTGCCATGTTTAATGGATGTCAGTGATCTCCTGTTAATTCCCCTCTCCAAGTTATCCACTGCCTTAAGCGGGTATTGAACTCACACTCTTTGGTTCCTGTCACTGGATCTAACTAACGGCTTTATCCACTGTGCCATGTGTCCAAAGAAACATGGCACAGTGGATAAAGACGATAACTGATAACTGATAAAGGTAGATAACTGACAACTGACATCCATCAGACATGGCACGTGGAACTAGAACAGTCTACCCCAGTGAAAGGGTTCAGTTCGATATTCCAACCACCTGAAGAAGGCTGGAGCGTACAACGAACGAAACGTTGTAATAAATATGACGACAAAGATGAGGACAATAGTCCGATTAATGTAAATAATGTACATAATATCTGATCTCAGAAATATAGACAGATACAGAAAGAAAGAAAGAAAGAAAGAAAGAAAGAAAGAAAGAAAGCAAGAAAGATAGAAAGAAAGCCAAATAAGGAACAAGAAAAAAGAAAAGAAAGACTAAAACACAAAGAATATGCAATGTTGTTAACAAGGAACGAAAGAAAGAAAGAAAGAAAGAAAGAAAGAAAGAAAGAAAGAAAGAAAGGTGGACAAAAGAAAACAAGAAAAAAGAAAGACTGAAACACAAAGAATATACAATATTGTTAAGAAGGAACGAAAGAAAGCAACGAAAGTAAGAAAGAAAGAAATTAAGAAAGAAAGGCGGAAAAGAAGAAAAAAGAAAGACTGAAACACAAAGAATATACAATATTGTTAAGAAGGAACGAAAGAAAGCAACGAAAGTAAGAAAGAAAGAAATTAAGAAAGAAAGGCGGAAAAGAAGAAAAAAGAAAGACTGAAACACAAAGAATATACAATATTTTTAAGAAGGAACGAAAGAAAGCAACGAAAGTAAGAAAGAAAGAAATTAAGAAAGAAAGAAAGAAAGAAAGAAAGAAAGATAGAAAGAAAGGTGGACAAAAGAAAACAAGAAAAAAGAAAGACTGAAACACAAAGAATATACAATATTGTTAAGAAGGAACGAAAGAAAGCAACGAAAGTAAGAAAGAAAGAAATTAAGAAAGAAAGGCGGAAAAGAAGAAAAAGAAAGACTGAAACACAAAGAATATACAATATTGTTAAGAAGGAACGAAAGAAAGCAACGAAAGTAAGAAAGAAAGAAATTAAGAAAGAAAGGCGGAAAAGAAGAAAAAAGAAAGACTGAAACACAAAGAATATACAATATTGTTAAGAAGGAACGAAAGAAAGCAACGACAGTAAGAAAGAAAGAAAGAAAGAAAGAAAGAAAGAAAGAAAGAAAGAAAGGTGGACAAAAGAAAACAAGAAAAAAGAAAGACTGAAACACAAAGAATATACAATATTGTTAAGAAGGAACGAAAGAAAGCAACGAAAGTAAGAAAGAAAGAAATTAAGAAAGAAAGGCGGAAAAGAAGAAAAAAGAAAGACTGAAACACAAAGAATATACAATATTGTTAAGAAGGAACGAAAGAAAGCAACGAAAGTAAGAAAGAAAGAAATTAAGAAAGAAAGGCGGAAAAGAAGAAAAAAGAAAGACTGAAACACAAAGAATATACAATATTGTTAAGAAGGAACGAAAGAAAGCAACGAAAGTAAGAAAGAAAGAAATTAAGAAAGAAAGGCGGAAAAGAAGAAAAAAGAAAGACTGAAACACAAAGAATATACAATATTGTTAAGAAGGCATGAAAGAAAAAAGAAAGACAAAAAGAAAGAAGGAAAGAAAGAAAGAAAGAAAGAAGGTAAAACAATAAAAGAAAGACGAAAACACAACGAATAAAGCCCAATCGAAATGTAACCATGGAAATAGCGTAAATTCGTGATAGGAACGAGGCTGCAGGGATGGGAATAAATCATCACGTGTAAACGATTTTAAACTTTATCAAGGCTGGAAAGTTTGGACTGAGTGGAATATCTTCCTTACAGTTGGAATACAGAGGGAATGTGGGTGGTTCAACTCTGTGGACGTAGAACATTTGCATATTTGACATGGAAATAGGAATGGTGTAGGAATTGAAAAATTGCCTCTGTAGGAAAAAACACTAAGACATTACCTACAAAACTGAGTGAAAATTGTTGAAGGTGTCAGCACTGGAAAGGGAAGATTGAGTAGCTCCATCTTAAATATGGCAGCAATACACCACTTCCAGTCTAATCCGTCTCTTACAAAAATGGACGTATCGCAGAAGTTAATCCACAGTGTAGTGATAAAAAAATTTTATCTCCAGAATCTATCTGACATATATATATATATATATATATATATATATATATATATATATATATAAAGAGATATAGTTTTAAGGTGTGCTATATTTATGGGATAAAGTGCTAAATATCAGAGATAGAGTGTATGTAAATATAAATCTAAAAGTGAACATTGAAGTCAACACTCAGAGGCGACAGCCTGTTTCATGCTGGACACAATCGTCAGGACGCGAATGCTGGATTTTTGGATTTTTCCTCGTCTATATATATATATATATATATATATATGTGTGTGTGTGTGTGTGTGTGTGTGTGTGTGTGTGCGTTGTAGGTAATCTATTCTGGCGGTTATTTTTGCGGGAGCGTCTTGTTTATTTATTTATTTGTTTGGTTTAATTTAAGACGCAACGCTAAAAATAGAATACGTGGATTTAACACATCACAAGAAATATTTAAATAAAATTCTCACTTAAAAATTTTGAAAAACTTAGCGTTGCGTCTTTGCACGTTCCGAGATCTTACAACCGTCAATAATAGCAGATATTCAAAAAACATCTTTCGGTCAACATACAGGTATATCGTCTCAAGTTTTTGATTTTATAATGAAAAAAAAAACACGTGCCTGATGATGGATGGAAGACCGTCCGTAAGTACTAGCATTTTAACATCGAATAAACTGAAAAACTACAGACAACAAGTTTTTCTTCAAGGATCAAAACTCGCACTATGGATGAACAGGATTCTAATGCATATATTATGTTTTCTAGCGACGGATGTCGCCAATAATCGCATTGATACTTCTGATTAATTCTATGTGTGATTATTTCTTGTATATATATATATATATATATATATACGTCTACTATTCGTTGTGGTTTTGAATATTGTTGGCACGTATGGCCTGGTGCTCTTTTCATATATTTAGAGATTCTTGCCTGTGCTTATTTCAGGAATACTTTCATATAATTGTTCGAATGAGCTCTTCGCTATGGTACCTCGACTGAAGCGGGGTACTAGACAGGCGATGAGATCTCATCTATTTATAGTTGAATTTGCTATGTTTAACAGTAGTATTTCTAGCTTATGGAGCTTCCTTCCGATTCTATGACTTCCTGGTCCATCTTTCATCTTCAAAAATTTAAATGCAATGTCAATCGCTATCTACTGTCCTCCTGATTACTCTTCCATTGTTCTCGCTTCTTAGTAATGTTTCTGTTTTCTAATTCTTCCAAACCCAGTAACCTCTTGCGTCTTAGTGGCTTTACCGCCTTGCTTGGGTTAAATCTGATTAAAAAAAAGAAGAATGGAGAGTAAGTTGACTATTTTTTCATCTCCTTTAGAAATTGATTGAATTATTTCCTGACATAGAGCAAATGCTTGTATCGTCATCACACAATCCCTGGGGCTCTAGTGAGAGCAAGCTCATATAGAGTTGTCAATACCTTCACAGAGTTCAAAAACTATCATGTCAATTCTATTAGTCTTCTGTGTTTAGGGACGTTCCTAGTGCAGCAATTGTTGTTGGCAGAACCTTCGTCTTATTTTAACTTTTTCATCTTTATTATTTGCGACGTTGATGCTTTTGTTGTTACCTTGAATCGTCTTTAAGAATAGTTCTGTTGCAAATGAAGTGTCACACTAATTAAAACGTCGATATAATTAACATCCTAGCTATCATAACGGTAGATGATGAAAGGAGACTAACTGTTGATGAGCTTGGCGATGTAAATGTCTTTCACGGAATGAAGTCTCTAATGGGAGAGGGACAATAAGTGTCCTGAATGTAAACGATGATGGTGAGGAGAAGGCAAAGGAGTATTGTAACTCTAAATTCAAAAAAGAAAGAAAGAAAAAAGAAATTCGTAAGATTAAAGTAAAAAGAGGAAGAATGATAAGAAAGGAAGGATGTCAAAACCACTGAAAAGAAAGGCGGAAAGAAAGAAAAATAAAAAGCAACAAGAACGGAAAAAAAAAACAAAGGCTAAAACACTAAGAAAAAACAATATTGTTAAGAAAGAAAGAAAAAGAAAGAAAACGAAAGAAAGAAAAAGAAAAACTAAAACACAAAGAATAGGGAATTTTGTTAAGAAGGAAGGAAAGAAAAAAAGTAAGTAAAAAGAAAGACTGAAACAAAAAAGGAAAAAAGAAAAGGAAAAAAAGAAAGACGAAAACACAAAGAATAGTCAATGTTGTTAAAAAAGACATAAAATAAAGAGAAAGAAAGAAAGAAAGAATGAATGAAAGAAATCGGAAAACACGGAAAAGAAAAGAAAAACAATAAGAAAAAAGACGCAAACACAAAGAAAAGTCAATATTTTTAGAAAGGAAGAAATAAATTGTAAGATAGTAACAAAGAAAGAAAAAGGAAGAAAAAAAAAACAATGAGAAATATGAGATAGACGAAAACACAAAGAATAGTAAAGAATGAAAGAAAGAACGAAAGGAAGGAAGAGGGGCGGACAGAAAGGAAAAAGAAAAGAAAAAAACAGACAAATAACGAAGAATTGTCAATATTGTTAGGAGAGAAAGAAAGAAAGAAAGAATGGCAGAAAGAAAGAAAGATGAAAAGAAATGAACGAAAAAAAAACAATAAGAGAATAAGGTGAAAACACAAGGAATATTTAATATTATTAAAAAAGAAAGAAAAAGTAAGAATGCTAAGAAAGAAACAATCATAATGCCAAAACCATTTAAAAGAAAGAAAGAAAATAAAAAGAAAAAAGAAAGACTAAAACACAACGAATATGCAATGTCGTTAAGAAAGAAAGAAAGAAAGAAAGAAAGAAAGAAGGTAAAACATTAAAAGAAAGAAAGAAAATGTGGAAAACAAAGAATAGTCAATATTGTTAAGAAAGAAATAAAACAAAGAGAAAGAAGGAATAAGAAAAAGACAGATAGAATGACGAAACGAAAAGAAAAGTCAATATTGTTTAGAAAGAAAGAGCTAAATCATAAGAAAGAAAGAAAGAAAGAAAGAAAGAAAAAGGAAAAACAGTAAGAAATAAATGACAGACGAAAACACAAAGAATAGTAAATAAAGAAAGAAAGAAAATGATGCAGAAAAAAAGGAAAAAAAGAAAATACGAAAGAAAAAAGACAGACAAAAAACACAACGAACAATCAGCATTAAGAAAGAAAGAAAGAAAGAAAGAAAGAAAGAAAGAAAGAAAGAAAGATAACCAATTAATATGAGTCTCACAGTTAATCTTAAGAAACTAGATTCACAGACTCTGAATGTGTTTGTGTAGGTTCCAGCGGACATATGAAGATCAAATAGCCACCAACCCGACGACAAGTATCATCGTCTGGACGAGAAAAAACTTCTATCAGCAAATAATTTCATAATTATAACTTCGTTGCATTTATTTAAAATGGCTTCACACTTAAGACATCTAAAAATTTCAATAGAAAACCATTTTAAACTAAGATCTTCAGGCATTTCTGTCCTTAGTTTTGTAGTAGAATTAATCAGCGTTCGTACACTTTTTCATTTCACTGACACTCGTCAGATTTCACTGACATACAACTATTTAAATTATATAAAATATATATCTTGTTGCCGAGAGAAATTCTGTAAGAACTCTCTGGTAATATCAGCAGGGAAATTAAATACACGACAAAATCTCTAACTGGATATTTTAATAAATTATAGTCATTGAACAGTGTTTGTTTTCGCTGATTAAAAATAACATATATAGTCTGATCAATTGACAGTTGAGTTGGTACGATTCCCTGATAATTTTATTTGCTGACGATTCTCGCATGTGGAACTCCCTTCTGGATGCATGTTTTTGGGGGGTTTTTTCCCGCCAACTTTGATCTTCAAAAATTTAAATGCAGTGACAATCGCTATCTACTGTCCTCCTGATTACCCTTCTTTTATTCTCGCTCCTGAGAAATGTTTCTGTCTCAAATCCACATCCAGTAACCCCTTGCATCTCAGTGGCTTTAGTGCCTTGCATTTTGTTTTTCGGTTACAGAAATTATTTCAAAATCTTACATCAAGTGATACCAGAGCAGATTATAAATATAATTACCAAAATCATAAGGAAAAAGAATTATTTTCTTTTATGGGCCGTGTACCTTCAGGACGTAGGCGTTCATGGCCCTCCTTATCTTCCTATCTCTTGTAGCTCTTACGCTTCTCCCAAAACCTGTTCTGCCATTAATTTGCTCTAGCATATCGAGTATGTTACGTGTTGTTTTCCTCTGTTCCTCTTTCCCTCTAACCATCCTGTGAGTATTAGATTTGCCAAGCCCTCCTTTCTCATTACGTGTCCCAGAAATTTCAGCTGCCTCTTCCTAATGTTAAGTATAAGTTTCCTCTTTGTTTCCATTTTCTCCGAAACCTCGTCGTTGCTCATATGTTCGCTCCATCGTATCCTCAACATCCTTCTGTAGAACCACATTTCTGTTGTTTCTTCGTCTTTGAGGGGATTATTCAGCATTCGCTGCCAAATAGGAGAACATATAATGCAGCAGCTCAATCTTCTTTTCTTTGTTTCTAACGAATTTGTTTTGTTTTGTTTCTTAATACTCTGCTTAGCTTTTGCAACGCATCTTTGCCTATCCCAATACACCTTCGGATCTCAGT